ATTTTGCCCTCAAGGAAGTACACAATTCAATAACAAAAATAATGTAAAGTAAGTCATATCCTTTTTTTTTTTTTTTTTTAGACAGAGTCTCCTTCACTCATCCAGGCTGGAGGGCAGTGGTACCAACACAGCTTACCGTACCCTTAACCTCTCAGGCTCATTCGATCCTTCCATCTCAGCCTCCTGAGTAGCTGGGACTACTACAGGCATGCTCCACCAGGCTCAGCTAGCTTTTTTGTAGTTTTTGCAGAGATGGAGTTTCTTCATGTAGTCCTGACTGGTGTTGATCTCCTGAGGTCAAGCAATCATCCCACCTGAGCCTCCCAAAGTTCTGGGCTTACATGCATGAGCCACCCAGCCCCACCTAAATCATATCCCTAAGTAATGATTTTGTTGGAAAGTTTTTTACAAGTAGTACAATGTATTCAAAGTAAATTAGCTCTTCCTAGTGATTTAGAGCAATTGTCAGGCAAACTTTTTCCATAAAGGGCCGGAGAGTAAATATTTTGTGTTTTGTGTCATGCAGTCTCTGTCAAAACTAGTCACTCAGCAATTGCAGTGCAAAACTGGTCAGAAGCAATACATAAATAAATGATAGGTACCAATCTATCTCAAAAAACTCTAAAAGCACACATTGAATTTTATGTAATTTTATGCACAATCAAATATTAACCTTCTTTTAATTTTTTAAATCATGTAAGTCATGTGAACCATGATTCCTAAACCACAAGCTATACAAAAAGCAGACACAAAAATGGATTAGTTCTACCAGGTACTAAATAGTATAAAACTTCAGTAAATACAAGGCTGTGTTTTACTGATGCATGAACAGAAAGGCGAATTAATGAAATAGAATAGAAAACAAAAAAACACCCACATATATGCATAGAAATTTAATATTTGATAAAGGAGACAATTCAGATTAGTGTGGAAAAGGTGGATTACTCATTCAATGATTGAGTAATCATTGGGATAAACAGGTTCACCTATTAAACATGCATTTGAGACCAGGCTCAGTGGTTCACACATGTAATCCCAACACTTTGGGAGGCTGAGGAACAAGGATCACTTAAGCCTAGGAGATTGAGATCAGTCTGGGAAAGATGGTGAGATCTTTTCTCTACAAAAATGAAATAAATTAAAAAATTAGACAGGAGAAGTTACGTGCACCTGTAGTCCCAGCTACTTGGGAGGCTGAGGTGGGAAAATAACTTGAGCCCAGAAGTTTGAGGCTGCTGTGAGCTATGATCACACCACTGCACTCCAACCTGGGTGACAGAGTGAGACCCTGTCTCCAAAAAATAAAACAGTAAGAATAGATGTAAAAATATATATGTATAAAATATTAAAAATCCATGTGAACCAGACCTAACAACCAAAATCAAAAGACATCTCAAGAATATCAAATATTTAAATGTTAAAAAACAAGCCCAAACCATACCAGAGGAAACCATTACCAAATATTTTATAGTCATAGAATGAGGAGGGCATTTCTAAGAATGAAACAAAATCCAGAGACAATAAATATAAAAAGATTCATGAATTCATCTCATAGATATTAAAAACTCTACATGGCAAATTCCACCAAAACAATGTAAAAAACAAAGGACACACTGGAAAGAAGTATTTGTGGCTCATTTGACAAACAAAGCACTAATTTTCATAATATATCAAGAGGTGCTACAAATCAATAACAACCTAATGGACAACAGCCTAAATAGACAGGTCACAGAAAGTACAATATCAATTGTCTTTATACATATGAATGAAAAGGCACTGGGAAAGACGTATGAGAATCCAACAAGGAGATATTCAGTACCATTTGGAATAAGATAAATGCAATTTTAAACATCACTAAGAAACATTTTTCATCTATCAGACTGACAAAAATTTAAAATATCTGGATTTTGTTCTTGTTTTGAGACAGATTTGCTCTTGTCAGTCAGGCTGGAGTGCAGCCTGATTGTAATTCCAGCACTTTGGGAGGCCAAGGGGGGCTCAGGAGTTTAAAACCAGCACAGACAACTTGGCGAAACCCCGTTTCTCCCAAAAATACAAAAAAATCCGCCAGGTTTCATGGCGGGCAACTGTCATCGCAGGTGCTGGGAGACGGGGTTGGGGTGGGAGGATCGCTTGAGCAGGGGAGGCGGAGGTTGCAGTGAGTGGAGCTCGCACCGCTGCACTCCAGCCTAGGTGACAGAGGGAGACCCTGTCTCAAAAAACAAAACAAAACAAACAAAAACCTATAGAGGAGTGAAGCACATTCTACAATACTAGGCACAAGAATGACTGGGCGCGGCTGGGCGCGGTGGCTCAGGCCTGTAATCCCAGCACTTTGGGAGGCCGAGGCGGGTGGATCACGAGGTCAGGAGATCGAGACCATCCTGGCTGCAATCTCAGCTTACTGCAACCTCTGTCTCCCGGGTCCAAGCGATTCTCCTGCTTCAGCCTCCCAAGTAACTGGGATTACAGGTGCCCACCACCATGCCCATTTAGTTTTTTAATTTTTAGTAGAGAAGGGGTTTCACTATGTTGGCCAGGCTGATTTCAAACTCCTGACCTCAAGTGATCCACCCTCCTTGGGCTCCCAAAGTGCTGGGATCACACCACTGCCCCAAACCAAGATATATTATTAAGTTAAAAAAAACTCAAGGTGCTAAGAGTATATTGTATGATGCCATCTTTATAGAAAAAAAGAAAATAAATTGTGTATATTTATTTATCTGAGAATTAAGGGTACAGAAGAAATTAGAAACAGATTTCCTACAAGAAATGATACTGTATAGCTGAAGGACAGGATTTGGAGGGTATTTTTCTCACTAAAAGCACTTTTTGAATTTTGAACCCAATAAAAATATTACATATTCAAAAAACACAATTTTAAATTCAAATGAAAATGACCTAGCTGATTTTCAATTATTGGTTTACTCAAAAAAAAAAAAAGCTTTTTTGTTTGTTTTTGTTTGTTTGTTTTGTTTTTGAGACGGAGTCTCACTCTGTCCCCAGGCTGGAGTGCAGTGGCGCGATCTCGGCTCACTACAAGCTCCACCTCCCAGGTTCACGCCATTCTCCTGCCTCAGCCTCCCAAGTAGCTGGGACTATAGGCACCCTCCACCACGTCCGGCTAATTTTTTGTATTTTTAGTAGAGACGGGGTTTCACTGTGTTAGCCAGGATGGTCTCGATCTCCTGACCTCGTGATCCGCCCGCCTTGGCCTCCCAAAGTGCTGTGATTGCAGGCATGAGCCACCGCGCCCGGCCTTTTGTGTGTGTTTTTTTTAACAGTTTCCTCAAGAAAATGCTTCAGGCCCACATCCTTCATTGAGATCATTCATTGCTTTCAGTCATTAGAAAGTGACAGCTCAGATTCCTTAAATTAAACTGAAGTATATACGGATCTTTATGAGAAAAAATATTTTCTAGAAATTTGTGTAATAAAAACAACTAGCACAGAGCCATGATTGTCAAGCCTGAAGTTTAAATGGAGTTAGAAATACTGTGGTACTTTTAACAATCATGAGATTCTTCCCTAGGAATGTTTTAGTAAAATTGATGTTGATTATTGTTCAAAGGTCAGGCACATATGTTTATCTTCTTTTTTTTCTTTTTGAGATGGAGTCTCGCTCTGTCACCCAGCCTGGAGTGCGCTATGGGAACTCACTCACTGCAATCTCCGTCTCCCGGGTTCCAACGATTCTACTGCCTCAGCCTCCCGAGTAGCTGGGATTACAGTTATGTGCCACCACACCTGCCTAATTTTTGTATTTTTAGTAGAGACGGGGTTTGACTATGTTGGCCAGGCTGGTCTCAAACACTTAACCTAGGTAATCCACCCACCTTGGCCTCCCAAAGTGCCAGAATTACTGGCATGAGCCACAGCGCTCAGCCATTCT